TGAGAATCTTTGTCTTCTTGACATTGAGCCTCAGTCCATACTGAAGGCTGCAGTCCTTGACCCTTCGCAGCAAGTGCATGAGGTCCTTCTCAGTTTCAGCAAGCAGGGTTGTGTCATGTGCATAACGCAGATTGTTAATAGATCTTCCACCAATCCTGATGCCACATTTTTCCTCATAGAGCCCACCCTCCTGGATAATCTGCTCTGCATACATGTTGAAAAGGTATGGAGACAGGACACATCCTTGGCGTACATCCTTCCCAAGTTTGAACCATGCAGTGCTACCCTGCTCTGTTGTGAGGTTAAAATAATTAATGGTTAATGTGGTTGGAGCTGTACCTAAAACAAAATATATTTTTAAATAGATAAAAGCAATGGGCTGGGGAAGAGCAATGGTTCCTACCTTGGGTGGTGACAGGGGAGGCATCAAGCATATGGCGTCTTTTATTCTCAGCGTGAAAGGATGAGGAAGATTTCAAAAGGAACTCAAGGTTGGCAAAGTGGCATGAACAGGTGCTGCCTCTATGATGGACTGGGACACATGTTTTGTCTTGGAGAACAGTTAGTGTTTGCATGAGGATGCTTTTGGGGGCAGGCAAGTAGGTATATGATGAAATGTGGTTCTATTAAATCAGAGTATTGTACTATTGTCGCCTAAAATAGTCTAGAGGTGAGGGCTAGTTAGGACTAGTTAAATCAGGAGCACAGTCTGAACGACGTTCCAGATCCACAATCTTTCCACCTTTCCTCTCTGCCGACCTTGGCACTGACTTTGTGCCCATGACAAGTGTGCTGCCCACTCTAGCTACTGTGTTTGCTCACATCCACATGCAAAAGCAGGGCAGGACGAAACTCTCTCTCTCCCATTTCTTAAGAAAATCTATCTTTATAAAATCTTTCTTTTTGAAGTCTGTGGCTGATGCTTAAGGTTAATGCACTCACCTGTTAAACAAAAAGGGGACAGTTAAAATCTACTCAGAGACACATCAGAAGAAAGTCCTGGTGATCTAACCACCCCACCCAATCAGGCAACTGCCTTTGATTTGGTTTTGATTTATGCCAATTCTTCATAGAGTTGGTGAGGTTATTGATCTCTAAGGTAAGGATTTCTCTGTTAGAGTAGCTGGTGTGTTCGGACCACTGACCTCTGGTTAGCAACATAATACATAATGTACCCTGTCACTAGAATCTTTCTTGATGACCTACTTCTGAAAAGTCATCTTTCGACAACCTTTTGGAACACAGTCCACCAACACACATGGAGTAGAAATAAAGCCCAACACAACTGTGTTGTTCTCACCTCCCCAAGTACCCAGAGGACTTCTAGGAAACCTGAAGAGGTCAGTATCAGGTCACATGCCACATCTAATCCAATCAGGGACCTGTCAACTGAGGCTTACTGTGATTGGTTTACATGGCTTACCATTTAGCTCTGAAGAGCTTGACAGGGGTTTACCTTCCCTGAAGACATTGTTGTTGTTGTCATCGTTGTGTGCCAACAAGTCTGTTGAAACTCACAATGATCCTACATGACAGAATGGATGTGTCCCAAAGGGTTTCCTAGGGAGCTGATTGCCAAGTCTTTTCTCCCATGGAACAGCTGCTGAGTTCAAACCATCAAACTTTCAGATGTCAGCTGAGTGTTTAATCATTAGCTCTCCTTCCCTGACACATGGTCCTTTCAAAATTGAGGCTTTACCAATAAGTTAGAAGATAAGTATAATTGTTGAGTAAGTAACAACAGAATTTGCCAAAATGTTTATAAGCAGATATTCGAACCAGAATTTACCAATCCTGATAAATTTTCATGATAAAAAGTTGCCTAACTTTATCCCCACAGATGGTATATACCACTTTATTTTACTTCCATTTTACTTTATGCCTTAATTGAGTTATTTTGTTGTTGTGGTTATGTGTTACTGAGTTAGAACTGACTTGTAGCTGACCCTCCAGCAAGTTTTCAGAGGCTGTAGGTAACATGGGAAGAGATTGCCCATCTTTCTACTGTGTAACAGTTGGTGGATTTGAACTGCCTACCTTTGAGTTGACAACATAATTCCTTACCCACTTGTCCACCAGAGTACCTGCCTTATAAGGAGCTTTTGTCAGTTATTTTAATAGGTATCCATTTCTTTCCTTATAAATTTTACTCCAAAGACTTTTCTATTGATTTATTTTCCACTCACATACTTATTTGTTGACTATATTTACTGGTTTTGACATTGTTACTTTTCTCTTGAGATTATTACTTGTGCCAACTTTCTTGGCTCAGATTTTGTGGATCAAGAAGTCAGTTTTGTTTTATACTGACTCTTTGCATTATTAATATTCATTAGGAATTGGATGAGAGATGGATTATATAAATTTCTCAGTTATCCCTGAAAAAATTGTGAGCAGGCCCATGAAAAAAACTAATTTTCCATTCAGAGTGCTCTATCTGAAGACTAACCCCCACCCCCTGCAGGCCCAAACTGTCTGTCTTTGTACAGTTTTTATAAGAATGATCTCTGTAAGTGAACTTGTGAAATGCATTTGAAAACACCAACTCTGAAGCCTAGTTTATAAAAATTTTATCTCTGTTCTTAGATAATTTCATTTTTTCTCATTAATAAATATTTTTTTAAAACTTTGGAGAGATTTTTCAAATAGTTTCAATAGGGAGTTGTATAAAATTCTTGGAAGCAAGGATTCTGAAGCTTTGTCTGACATACTTTGGACATGTTGCAACAAGGGACCAGCCCTTGGAGAGGGATGTCATGCTTGGAAGGGTGGAGGGACAGTGCAGGGAGGAAGACCCTCTGTGAGGTGGATTGACTCAGTGACTGGGGTAATAGTGGTAGTTGTGTCAGAGACAATAAGATTGGCACAAGATAGAGCAGGGTTTAGGGCTGTTGTACATAGAGTCGCTGTGAGTCACCGGCGACTTGATGGCACATAACAACAACAACAACACAGGGAGTTGTGTTGCTAATCCAGAGATGACACGTCTCTGGCAGTTTTAATCCACCAGCAGCTCTGTGGGAGAAAGATGGACAGTCTCCTCCTGTGTGATTTACAGCTTCTAGAAACCCATTGACAGGTCTATGAGTCTGTTCTAACTGGACAGCAATGAATTAGTTTAGATCCTTCTCCTCCAGAGCAGCCAGGGGTCTTGAACTGTATGCCTTCGGGATTGCAGCGCAGCTCCTTGCCACGAGGCCACCAGAGCTCCCTTCATAAAATAGTTATGAAATTATTTAATCTGTCACATGGACCCCCTACATAATATTTTTAATTTTGCCTCTTGGTCTACAAACCCTAAAGTGTTTATTATCTGGCTTGCCCGCCCCCTCACCCCCCGCCCTCTTGCTCTATTATATTCTTAACCCAGTTCTTTTGAATACTTGCACTCTGCCTACCCTGGGTTACAAAAAGGCAAATGAAATGGTGAATGAGGTCAATATGCTAAGAGGGACCAAATATTGGAGGCAAATGTCTGTTTCTGTTGGAGAAACAGCAAATGGACAAGCATAGAGTGTTCAGTGATGAAGGCAGCTCACTGTTCAAACTCCAACAGTTTGGAAAGCATCAAACTTTGATGGGATCATCAGATTTTGAAACTTCAAAGAGCTGAAAGGCCTTTTAGTTTTTCCTACTCAAGTTAGCACCTTTTTTTCTTTTCCTTGACAGATGAGGAAAAAGAAAACAATAGAGCCTCCAAGCCCCACTCCACGCCTGCTACTCTGCAATGGTAAGTGTCCATCGGTAGAAAGTTCTCGCATGCTCCTATAACCGTGTCTTACTACCTACAGGATAGGATGCTACTCAAATATTTTGACATGGCCATGGTAACCCACATGAAATCTATGTTGTCAAAATCTTGTTGTTGCTGTCAAGTCAGCTTCACCTCCCAGCAACTCTGTGTGTAACAGGAGGACACCCTGCCCAGCCCTGCCCCATCCTCACAACCATGGCTCACCTGGTGGTCTAGTGGTTAGGATTCAGGACTCTCATCACTGCAGCCGGGTTTTAATTTCTGGTCAGGGAATCATATGGTAGATAGAATAAAGAATTAAGGGGAGAAGGAGGGAGGGAGGGACGGAGGAGAAAGAGAAGGAGAAAAAGGAAGAAGGAGAAAGAAGAAAAGGGAAGAAAAGAGATGAGAAAAGAAAAGAAGCTGGTCCCAAGAAATGAATAGGCCTTTATTGCAAGGTCTGAGGGAGATGGAAAGTGACCCCGTGCGGAGAAGGTCAAAATGGTGCTAGGGTGATCAAGGGCAGTTTCTTTTTATAGTAGTGTTAGGGAGGACTAAGAAAGATGGCCATGGTCTTTGCAATCACTTGTTATGCGTCAGAGAGTTGGATAATGACTATGGAGGATAGAAGGAGAATTGATGCCTTGGAGCTGTGGTGTTGGAGAAGAGTATTGAATGTACCATGAACTGCTAGGAAAACGAACAGATTCATCCTGGAGAGGGTTAAACCGGGTGGCTCCTTGGAGGCAATGGTTCTGAAACTTCCTCTGACATACTTTGAAAATGTTGCAAGGAGGGACCAGTCTTTAGAGAAGGACATCATGCTTGAGAGGGTGGAGGGGACAGCTCAGCAGAGGAAGACCCTCTATGAGGTGGATTGATTCAGTGTCTGGTGAAATAGGTGTAGGTTTATCAGAGACAGTGCGATTGCCACAGGACAGGGCAGGGCTTAAGGGGCTGTTGTACATAGGGTCACTATGAGTCACAGGCGACTCAACAGCATGTAACAACAAGAAAAAGAAGAAAGGTGGTATTTTGCTTGCAATTTGGGGTGGGAGTCCTGTTAATTAACTTGGTTGTGGGCTTTTGTGGTCAGGTCCAGAGCCTTAGCTGATAAGGATCTTGTCTCTGGTCTGGTCTCTGCTCTGGTTGCCTTAGACATCACCAGGCCTCCTCAAAGAGTGATCAGGCCTGGCAGCAACAGCGACATTCTTCCTCCATTCAGGACCTCAGAGGAATATGATGATTAGAGGTGGAGACATCTCTAGCTACTTCCTGATGAACTGGCTTGAGTCCGGGGTTTGAGTCCATTGTTGTTGCTGTTGCTATGGCAATCCGTCTTGTCCGGTATCATCCTCTCTCAGCTGACTTTGTCTACCCTCACCAAACACAATGTCATTCTCCAGAGACTGGTCCCTGCTGATAATATATCCACATGTGGAGGCATTTGTAAAATGCTCAACTCAGTTCTACCTGGAGACTTAAAGATTGTCATTATATGTTCTTGAGTTGACTGTGACTCAGAGCGACCCTATGAACAACAGACTGGGGTCTTGCCCTGTTCCGTGCCATCCTCACAATCTCTGCCCGGTCTGAGCCCATTGCTATAGTCACTGTGTCAAACCATCTTGTTGAAGGTCACCTCAACAACTTGAATAGTCATTCCTGTTTTTTTCTCCAGGAACGCTAATGGTACAGTGGTTTAAGAATTCAGCTTCCAACTGTTCAGGTTGGTGGTTCAAACTCACAGGCAGCTCTGTGGATGAAAGCTTCGGCAATCTGCTTGCACAATGATAAACTACCTTGGAAACCCTAAGAGGCAGTACTCTGCTGTCCTGTAGGGTCACTTGGAGTCAGAAATCAATGCAGTGATAGCAAATTTACTTGGAAATCACACCCACAGGAATGGATTTGGTGGCATTTTTATTTTGGGGTAGACTTTTCCCATTCTCTGAGGCCTGGCCAGGGCTTAAGGACTGCAATTGAGCATTGTAATGCTAAAACAATGGTTCGAACGCAGCAGCCACTCCTGAGGAGAAAGCTGGATCTCTTTCTAAGAGCCACAGCCTGGGAAACCTGATGAAGTTGGGATTGCCTCTACAGTAGTAAATTTTTGGGTTCTGGCCACAGCTGGATTCTGTATGTTGTTGTTGTTAGGTGCCATTGAGTTGTCATCGCGACCCTATGAACAAAAGATCTGAACCCTGTTCTCTCCTGCACACCCTCACACTTCCTGACACACAAGAGCCCACTGCAGCAGTCACCATGTCAATATGGAAGTTATGAATTGATTTTAATAAAATCTATATTTTTGCAATCTGCATATGTTTGTTGAAACACCTCTGGTGTTCCAAGAAACGCATGTACACTAGGGCACGCTCACCAGTCTATGCCAAGGAATTTGGAAGACAGTTTAGCTGGACAACTGACTGGAAGAGATAAACACTTGATCTCATTTCAAAAAAGATAATCCAACAGAGTATAGAGATTATTGAATGAGATAATTAATAGCACATGCAACTAAAATCTTGTTGAAGATTATTTTAAAATGGTGGGAAGTGATAGGGAATTGCCAGAAATTCAAGCTGGATTCTAGAGGCCTTGTCATCAGAAATATCACCGCGGATGTCAGATGAATCTTGACTGAAAGCACAGGATACTAGAAAGATGTTTACTTGTGTTTTATTGACAATGCAAAGGCCTTTAACTATGTGAATCATCACAAATTATGGCTAAAATTGAGAAGAATGCAAATCCCAGAACACTTAGTTGTGCTCATGTGAAATCTATACATAGAAACAGTGAGCTTCTCACTATGTATAGAAACAGATAATCAGAGTCAACAAGCAGTGACTCAAATGTTGTTGTTATGTGCCATTGAGTCACCTCCAACCCATAGTGACTCTGTGTACAATAGCTCTGAAGCCTGTCCTGTCCTGAGCCAGCCTCACTGACTCTGACATACCTGTCCCCATTGCCCTAGTTTACTGTATCAATCTATCTCATCCATGGTCTTCCTATCCTGCCCTGTCCCTCCACCCTTCTGAGCATGATGTCCTTCTCCAAGAATGGGTCCCTTCTGGCCACATGCCCAAAGTACCTAAGACAGAGCTTCAAAGTCCTAGCCTCCATGGAGAAACTTGGTTTCACTTTCTCCAAGACAGACCTACTTGTTTTCTTGGTAGTCCATTGTATGTTCAAGATTCTTCTCCAGCACCACAGCTCAAAGGCATCAATTCTTTTTCAGTCATCCATAGTCATTGTCCAGCTCTGATGCATAGCAAGTAATTGTAAAGACCATGACCTAGATCAGGCACACCTTAGTCTCTAGACTGACATCATTGCTCTTCAGTATTCTGGAAAGATCCCTGACAGCACATTTTCCCAATGCAATTTGTCTTTTGATTTCCTGACTGCTGGTGCCAAGAGTGTTAATTGTGGAGCTAAGTAAGCTGTAATTGTTAACAACCTCAATCTCTTCTCCATCTATCACAGTGCTGCCAATTGACCCAGTGGTGTAAATCATATTGCATGGCTTAAAATAAAGACAGTGTGTTATCAGGGTTGTGTCTTTCCTTCATATCTGTTCTATCTGTATTCTGAGGAAATAATTTGAAAAGCTGAACTTTATACAGAAGAATGTGGCATCAAGATTGGAAGAAGACACATCAACAATCTCTGTTAGGCAAATTACACAAACCTACTTGCAGAAAATGAAGACATGAAGCATTTACTGAAGAAGATCAAGCCTTCAATATGGATTACATCTCAGCATCCAGAAAACAAAAGGTCCTCACCACTGGATCAAGAGATGACATCATGACAGATGGAGAAAAGATTGAAATTGGTAACAATTTCATTTTACTTGGATTTACAATCAACACCAATCAAATCTACCAGCAGCCAAGAAATCAAAAGACATGTTACATTGGAAAAATCTGCTGTCAAGGACCTCTTTAGAGTGCTAACGATGTCTGTTTAAAAGCTAAGGTATATCTGATACAAGTCATGGTATTTTCAACTGTTTAATAGGCATGTTAGACAATTAATAAGGAAGACTGAAGAATAAGTGATGCATTTGGATTGTTGCGTTAGCAAAGAGTATTAAATATCCCATGAACTGCCAAAAGAACAAATAAATCTGTCTTGGAGGAAGTGTAACTAGGGTGCTCCTTAGAGGAAAAGATGTTGTTGTACGCTGTCAGGTCAGAAGTGACCCATAACTGATCCCCCAGTGGGTTTTTAGAGACAGTGAATCTAAGGGGAGGAGGTGGTCCATTCTTCTCCTGCAGGGTGGCTGGTGGCTTTGTATCATGAGATTAGAGGAAAGAATGGTGGAACTT